GTTGGATTAAAAAACTTGAGTGGCTTTATTTTAAGCTCTTTGATTAGTTAATTTTTATCATTCTCATCTAAATTAGCGTGAACAAAATGAAATTAAATAGTTATAAAGTGTAATATCTTATTTTAAACTTAGAAACTTTTTTACAGACATGCATTAACGGTTAAATTAAAGTGAACGAAAGTATATTAAATAGTTAATATTCATAAACTTGAGTAGTTTATTCTAAACGCTTAAATCAAAAATTTTCATTATACTTATCTGCATTTACACGAATGAAATAAATTAAGTAGTAAATAGTCTTAAAAATTTCTTTATAGCAACTTGCTAAATTAAAGCAAAAACAAAAAAAAAAGAAATTATATAGTAAATATTCATGAACTTTAGTTTATTCTGAACACTTTGATTAAAACTTTCATCATATTACCTGAAATAACACGAATAGAATAAAATTATATAGTAAATAATTATGAACTCTAATAGCTTATACAATTAAATTAATAAAGTTTCACCATACTCACCTAAATTAGCATGAGCAAAATATAATTAAATAGTAAAACAAATGAATCTGAGAAACTTATTTTAAACGCTTAAAAACATAAAAAAAATAATTAAATGTTATAAACCCGAATAACTTATCTTAAACACAGATTGATAAATTTTCGTTATAGTCGCGTATTAAATTAAAACCAAATATTTAAAACCTAAATAGCTTATTTAAACATTTAGATATACAAGTGCAACGTACTGTACATTGGGCTAGATATACGCGTATTGTGATCAGCATAGCGGTTTGAACTATAATACTCATATATTCATACATATTTTCGACCTACTATTTACTAATGTTTTAACTCTATAAAACTCAGATTACATAAAATATAAGCATTAGTACAACTTATTGTTATTATATTGGCATTTCAAATAATATACAAAAAATTCTTTTAAGTTAAACCTTACAGGTAATGTCTCAATTTTCTTATTTTATTGACCGCTTCCAGCATTTAGAACTTACATACGTTAATATGACTAGTACTAGCAATAAATAATAAAAATATTCGCTTTTAAGCGAAGTTCTTGGGGTTACTGATTATTTTTGATTATTGAATATAGACGTTCTTTCAAAAATTACGTTCCCGAATTTAAACTGCATAAATAAGTTACACACAATTGGTTTATATCAGCCAATCATAAGAATGTCTTCCTATGAACTGGGCCCATTGGGCCAAGCCGGGTATGCTTATAAAGCCCAAACCCGGCCCAGTATTTAGAAGGCCCAACCCAAGCCCGGCCCACAAAGTAACGGGTTTTAAAATTTGGGCCCAATCTAGGCCCAAGCCCGGCCCACAAATTTCCGGGGTTGGCCCAGCCTATTCCGTACCATAATTAATAGGAAGTTCGTCACTATACTCAGATCTTTAATACCAGTCTAGAGATCATACTACGTTTCTGGTTTAAGCACGATTACGTCGCGCAACTACCCTAATCATAGCTACAGATACATACTAAGTGTCTGGATTATATAAAAATTGACCAATTTAATACTGATATTACTACCCGCGCCCGTGCCCATGCCAAAATTTTCTACCTGTGCCTGTGACAAATTTCGCGCTCGTACCCATTCCCGTGCCAAATTTTTATGCGCCCATGCCTGAATTTTCATGTCCGTGTCCATGCGCCTATGCCTAGATTTTTTGTTGAGCACAGGCACGAACCGGGTTGCAGATCCATAATCGTTAAGCTCAAGCTAAATCAACACAAATAAGAATTAAATGAGAAGTTTGTCTGTATTATTACCGAGTTTTGCGTATAGTAGCTGGGTAAAAATTTAATTCAAATAATTCTGATGCTGGTATATACCAATGCCACGCTAGTGCTGTACTCTAAATTTTAAATCAAGTTGCATCTGTCTTTCTATTTTTTTTATTTTTATTTTTTTTTGAACATAAGCATGTACTTACGTATGTACATATGTATTAGGCATGCAAAAACCCTATGAGTGCTTATTGCCCTTCTATTCATGATAATAATACAAAAAGAAAGATAATGCTATTGTAGTAATTCTGTATACACATAATATATTGCTTCATAAATGCAAAAAAAAAAAAATTTTTTTGTGAATGTTCCAGATAGTGATATTATCGGTCTACATCTCAATACTATCATTTAAATTTGATTCGTTTTTTCATATATCGATATAATGGATTAATTCTTGTATCATCATAAAAATCCTTATAGACTTTTTATATTTGAATAGACTCAAAAAATGTGCCTGATTACGTTGAGGTCGAAATTTCTTTTTTGAAAGCCTGCATTAATTTACATTACTGTGCTGTACTTTACATTTTGGGTTAACCTACAAAGTAGTCAATGTAGATAATTTTTGCCAACGTGAAATAATTTCGTTCAGACGAAATACTGTATTCGAATTCACTCGAAACATTAATTATGAACATTAGTTAGATTGCTTTATACTTCATTTTCGTACTGCACGCTTTTAATCACTTATTACTCAAATCTTTAGAATTATTTGATTGAGACTTATATTATTATTTATTTATTATACTGTATATAAGAAAATATTATTATTATACAGATAACAATTATAGATCTATCTGAATCTCTAGATATTATCTAAAGAAAGCTACCAAATAAACAACAAAGTAAGAATAAGCTGAGTAATCATTCATTCTTCTACATTAATTTTGTCAATACCATATTCTAATTGAATTAGAATATCATTTTTCATTGATTCGATAATACTTGTGACCCTAAGAAATGCCAGATCTTCCTCTAATTCTTGTCGTTTATCTTTTTGCGTGGTCATGGAAGGAGAAGAATCGTTAAGGTCGATTTTAAGGGAATTCTGAAATATAATATATAAATTGTAATACATATTATTAAAAATGATTATATTAAAAACTAAGAATTAAATTAATCTTAGTAACAATAATCATACTAATGTATTATCATCAGTTTGTTTCTTTGGCGAAGTAACTTTTTCAAATGCAGCTTCCATTCTATATAGTAGAAAATGTATTTTTATTTATTTTTTGAAATTAATACATGAAAACGTATCAATGCAAAATTTCAAACTCACTTGTTAAGTTCTTCGATCAATTCACGCTCTAAATTTGATTGCCATTTATATTCTTGCCAAAGTACTTGGTTTCCTTCCTTTAACAAAGAATTTTTCATTTGAAGTTCTATAACCTAATTTATAAAAAAAATGAAGTTCAATAAAAAAAAAAAGAAGCTTTTTAAACATTGGCCGAAAAAAATTGAAGCGTAATATACTTGAGTTATCATTTCAACTGTAATAGGATGTGATAAATCTACTTTTGACAATAAAGTGTCAAGGAATTCTTTATCATTTATATCACCATCTACATCTTTCTCATCAACACGATGTTTCTCGGAACGTTTTTTCTCATCCCCAATTTTCTCATTATCCTTCCATTCGTATCTTCCATTGTTTCCACATTTAATATCTTTTTGTTCACGAGATCGTTCACGAGCAGGTGCCAAACGTTTAATTTCAATAACATCTTGTGCTCTAAACGATGATGATTCGTTAATAAGAGGCATGGATTTTTTCTTGACGATAGATGATATAGATTTATTCCTTGTTAATAAAGGTGTTGATTTTTTCTTAATCACAAGTGGTTCCGGCGGATTCTTTAAAATTTCTAATGACTTTTTTTTAACTTCAAGAGGTGACGGATTCTTCTTAATTTCAACAGGAGGTGGTTTCTTTTTAATGTCAAAAAGAGACAGTTTTTTTTTAATTTCCAGAGGAGGAGGTTTCTTTTTAACTTCTAGAAGAGGAGAGGACTTCTTTTTAGCTTCTAAAAGAGGTGATGGTTTCTTTTTAGTTTCTAAAAGAGGGGGAGGTTTCTTTTTAATTTCTAAAAGAGGAGGAGGTTTCTTTTTAATTTCTAGAGGAGGAATTGTTTTCTTAACTTCAAGAGGTGGCTGTTTCTTTTTAATTTCAATAGGGGATAATTTATTTTTTGTAATAAATGATGTTTTATTTTCATTATTGCTAATGACATTCGATGATTTATCATTTGTAGATAATTTTGAAATTGTAGATACAGTTGGTCTAGGAAGTTTACGAGAAGATAAAGAAAATTTTCGCGCTATTTGAGTTTCATCATCAATTTTATTATCGTGAGCTGTAGACAGTTGTGAAGTTGGTTTAGTTTGTGGAATCATTGAAGTAGATAAGGATCGAAGTGTACGTGTTTTCGAACATTTTTTCAAAGGGAGGATATTAGAATTACGTTTTTCTTGAGCCATTGTAGATTGGTCTCGAATCTCTTAAATTCTAATTTAACATTTCAAATCACTATAATTTATACAAGAAACCATTTTTTTTAATCATGAATTTGACGCTTTTGTTTCAAAATTCTTTTTTGTTTTTCTTCGTTTCATTTTATATAGTATATCCAAGTTGGGAAGCAGACAAAAAGGTTTATCAATAATTAATCAAAAGCATCTTTAATTCATAATTGTGTCGGTAAATTAAACCTGTATAGATAAACAAAATCGTTAAGCGTGAAAACGACAATGGTTAATTGTTTAATCAAAGTATTAGTGCTTTACAGTTACATAGAATTAGCGACAGCAATAGTGATTGGAGATTAGCAATGTCAATAGCGATACAGTAGCTTATTTGCAATAGTAATAGCAAAGATCAATAGCACCATTAGCGCAATAACGATTAACAGGCGCACGATTTGTGAATATAAATTTGAGTGATCGACATCCATATGATAGGTTTTTTCAATTGCCATTTTCAGGGGTTTCTTAAAAGGAAATCGCACTTACAGAACTACAGAAACAAGCAACTAAACAAGCAAAAGCAAAAACGACAACTACTGTTGTAACTGAACAAACTGCAAAATTAAGAGCTGTTCATGTCGTAAAAGTATAATAAGCTCTACACTAGACGTTGTGACGAGGCAAACGCAATAATCACTAATGCGAATTTTAAACTATCAGTAATTATGTATTGTCGCTAAATTTATCAGTGTTTGAATCTATTTTAACTTTCAAGAAAACTACTGAAAGAACAACGGTTATAGTAGTTACACAAACATATGGTGCTAGAATAAATGTTGAAATACGAGCGTACTGCAATTTTTTTTTTTTAATAAAACAAATTTATTTTTTGTCAAATTCCGATCCCAAAATTACTTCTGTCAACTCTGAACTAACATAAATTCCAAAGCGACGTATAACAATAACACTACATCTTTACGCTATAAATCAATTTCTCTTGGTATTAATTTAGAATCTAATGCCAAAATAAAAATAAGCAATTAATGTTGCAGATTAAAATGAATCAGATTAAAATGAAACGAGGGATAATGTAAAATAGACAAGCCACCGAAAAATACAAATTTTTGGGATGCAATTTTTTAGCATTTTTTTTAGGGTTAGGATTAGGGCTTAGAAGCAGGTTTTATAATAAACAAGTATAAGTGAGTTTTAGAAGGTCAAATAGAAACCCCCTCATTTCATTTTAATCCGGTTTCATTATCGCGACAATTAATTTGTTTAATTATCGTTATACGAGCGTAAGTAAATTATTACGGGAATTTCGATAGGACCATATAAATATATTTTAAAAAAATGCTGTTTAAATCTAATTGAACAAGATCATTCATTACCTGCATTTACTATATTCACAGATTTAGGAATATAATAATAAGGCTATTACTGATGCATTTCTAATTTTGAAATAAAATATTATTATATACCTGGTTTTGGAAGATCTTGATAATTTAAACTTACTTGATAATATGTTAAGGAATTTTTGCTTGAGTCATCAATTTCTTTAACTTGTTTATATAATCCGGTTTTTTTTTTCATTTTTCAAATCTATAAAATTGATTCAGTGTGTTGATTACTTCTTTAGTTATTGGTCGGATCTGTGGTTCGGCATCTAAGCATTTGGGATCTTTGCTAGGAAAACGACCCTCCACGGCTATGTTGATTTTGTGAATAGAAATTCAATATGCCGGCCATCTAGTCATCCCCAATTCGAATGACTTTTTTTTTTTTTTTTTTTGTAGAGTTTATTTAGGTCTACAAATAAAAAAAAAAGTTCATTCATATTGGATAACTATATGGTTGGCAAATTTAATTTTGATTCACCAAATCAGCATAACCTCGGAGGGTTATTTTCCTAGCAAAGATCCCATTTATTCATCAAATCCAAAAGTAGTTGAAGGACTTCGCATATCTAATTTCGAGACCTTCACAAATCTTTAATACAAGGCCAAAATCATGTTGGATTCATGGTATGGGGATATATCCGATACGATTATTCCAAAAGAATAAATATCTGATTTTTCACTATACACATTTCTTTTATATAACAAAACAGGTTCAATATAGCAAAGTGCACCGTAAATTTTACCAGAATTTGTACTTGAGACATCGGCCTATACAAGCAAAAATTAATAATATAAAGATTAAATATATTTTGACTAAATATTTTCGGAATGAAAGATCTTTATGCACTAATTTTGCTTCATGAATTACACAAAGTCCATTAGAATCCCAATCTTCTAAGTCATTATACTTACTATCTAATTAATTTCGGAGACTTTCTTGCTTTGCATAACGCATAATCATCATATAATTATCATCTTTTGGTCTCTTAGTTATTTCCATAAATCGAAACTGCTGATTGGCCTCCACCTACTATAAAATGTTTAACAAAACACTACGCACAATTTTAGAATTATAATTTATATAATGCTTTTAAAACTTCTTGTTTTATATCTTTAGAATTATTGAGGCCTTTTAATAAACACATATTTACGACTCTTCCCTTCATTCATTTTTTTTCCTGATCGAATCTTATTATATATCCATCAGTCCATATCGCCCTTTAGCAAAGTATTTTATATTTGTAATTTGTTAAAAGGTACTCATTCAGCTATGTCTTTAAATTCCTTTGCATCAAATTGAGTTTGCTGAATAAAATTTATAAATACGTATCTTGGTATAGTTACGTATGAAAATCTTTTCAAACCCTAACACTAAATCTAGGGATAGGAACGGCTTATGATAAAGCCAGATTGACAATGGGTTGGAATCGATTCAACCAGGCCGGCTCGAGCCAGCTCAAGCTGAGTCACATGATATAAAATACGTACGTACGTACGTACGTAGGTACATGGCGGTAGCTGGTAGAAAGACATTTATCTGACTGGAAAATTTACAAAGATTAAATGTGATCATTAGTTCACACAATTAATGAAATAGAGCTCTTATACACATATATCCACTGTTTAGCGTAATAAATTTTCTATATTATTAGATTTTACTTACGTTATATTGTGTAATCCAGTCTAACCTAGTTGAAGATATCTTGGAAGCTGCCATTAAAATCTTTGAGAGGATACTTTCAAGCAACAAAACCACAAGAATTTACAGTGCATACCTTAGTGTATTGGTAGAGCAGATCTAGCATACGTGATTTATAATGATATAGTTATATTAGCAAGATCCAGACATCAATACGTACAAATCATTACTAATCACTTGTGCCAACAAAATGGATGCATTCATGATCGACAGGTCATACGTAGTATCGATATTACCCATATCTATACGTATACTGTATATGAGTGCCGCCATGACTTCGGATTTTCAATTATATTTTGTGTACAATTAGCCGTCTATGGAAAATCTATCATAACGATAATGATAGATTTTTCATAGATGGCTAACTGTACACAAAATATAATTGAAGGTCCAAAGTCAGGTTTTCCCTTGGCGGCACTCATATATAACTGATTGGATACAATAGGTAAACAATCTAATTTCTTATTTTCATTTTAACTCGAATAATCCATTCTGAATTTATGTTAATAATAAATGGTGGTTTATCCATACGATCGGTAAAATAATACTATTATTATATGAATAAAACCTTCAGTTTGGGTTAAACTCTTACGTATTTTATTTAGAATAAAGTAAGTATAAAAAAGTAATTGTTGATTTTGAATGTTTGTCACACATAAAATTTTTCGATTCAAAAAAAAAAAACAAATATCCGATAATTCTATTTCTGAAAATTTAAAAAAGTCTAGTCATAACGATGACAAATAATGTTGCGGCCAATATTACTGAACCGCTTTTTTAACTGCTTAATTCGATATTACCGAACCGTTTTCAATTTCCTTTGGAAGATCTACATCGATTAAATCAAATCGCAAATTTTTTTTATAATCAAAAAATACAAGTATTTAAACCTGTTAATGAAATGGTGGAAGGCAATTTTACCTATAATACTTGCTCAATCCCTAACCTCAAAACAACCAAGTAAGAAAATCGAAAAGAAGTTTCGATAATATTAGTTTAAAGCCGTGTGCAGTTAAATAAATTATTTAATTAAAATTATGGAAAATCCAGGGTTAAGGAGAGGGTAAGTATATAGGTAAAATCACCTCCCCAATATTTTTAAAGTAATGAACACAATTTTTAGTTGAAAACCAACTGCCAACTAATCGATTGAAAAAATTTTAACCAAATAAATTTTTATTATTATCTACATAGTAAAATTGGAAATTCAAGTTCATTTTTAACTAAATGAATTATAAATCATTGGGACGTTATACCGACGCAACAATTTACATGAGAAAATGGGAAAACAATTCCAGCAAGTCCAGTTGAAACAAAGAATTTTAGAATTTTTTAAGAATAGTAACGCAGGAATACAAGTTGATTTCATCATTTCAAATTTGTATAAACTCTTTAAGAACAGTAATGCAGGGATACTATTTGATTTCATTTTAAATTTGCATAATTTATTGCAAAAAAAAAAAAAAAAGAAAATTTGAATCAAATATAAATTACAAATAGCTATTGATTATTATACACCAAAACGCATAGTCAAAAGTGCGAGTGTAATTGAACAAATAGCAATGACGGCGGATTTCCAAAAAGGCGTGTCAGGGAGATAAATACGTTTTTGTGGATAAATACTTGTGACATGTTGGTCTAAATATATAAAGTAAGCATAGGAAGGGTATGTAATACAGTAACTTAAAAAGAACGCGAGAAGGCTGTGATATAACAAATGATTGAATAAACACGATGGTCAGTACATAATTATAATTTATTTAAGATAAGGAATGCGAGAAACTTACGCGTTAAACGAATATCTATAAACAGTAAACACGACATTGCCAAGAACATGAAAGACGGCACCAACAATCAATAGCAAAAGTTGATGTGGGTGATGAATTATTGGATGGACAGACTTACTGGGATCATGAAGATGAGCGCCATGAGCGTGCTCATCATTATCGTGATCATGTGTATTGACAAGGTCTGTGCCGTCGCCATTCTTAAGCACGCGAAGAGTAGTTATATATACACGGGTGAATTCAAATACAAGGGCCCAATCGAAGCATAAACCTGGATTTATTAAATATTTAGGAAATATTTATGAAAACGAAATCAAGTGTTTTGACATAAAAATAATCGAATGATTTACCTTGGCCTTTGAACCACACAGCATCATAAGGGAATTTTAAGAAAATTGAAAGAACAGCAACTAAAGAAATGTAAAAACCGAGAATGGGCCAAAATAATGGAGACTTGATTTTTCCACCAGAACCAAGTATAATAAGAATAGTGAATTCAGCAGCATTATGAAGTACACCAATAGCAACCCATATTTTACCAACACCAAAAAGGAATATGGCGACACCAGCTAAGAGAGTCATCACAATATAAAGAGCCAAGATACTATCAAAATAGTGAGTTGTAGCCATAGAATCATTTTCACCAATGTAAGAAAAACGAGTGATAAGTCTAGGACTAGTGGGAGGATTATAAGTCCATTTTAATGCATAGTAACTGGAAAGAAGCAAAATAATCTGGTTGAACAACAGTGTAGCATCAAGCTCGTTTCCGTCGAAACCTATTTCATTATTTAACATTAATTAGTCAAAAAATTCATTGGTAAATAAAATATATAGACGTAGAAATCATAGAAATCATAAAATCAGAATTTAACAAACCATCTAACTTAGGAAGCCAAGTCAAATAACCGGTGAACCGGTAAGGGACTTGATCCGGAATTTCAGGCTCAACCCAAGAAAAGGAAAAAAGCACGAAAACTAACGCTATAAGAGATAAAAAAATAGCAATACAAGCACCAACAGTACCAACAGTCATTTTTTTTGTCGTTAAGAAGAGAATTCCTCTAGTGAGATAATACGTTTTTGTTTCATTTAGATATTTTTCAAATGGTATTATGTTACACACTCCATCTCATCCTGGAAAATTTTTTTTGTGCCTACATAAAAGTACGTTCGAATTAGCCGCATTGGAAAATCAAAAGTAACTAAAAATCATGTTAGATCATCTTTAAAGTTTTCTTTAAAAATAAATCGATAATACCAATTGGATCACAAAAATTTTTATGGTTAAATTGTTAAACACGGCTCACAATTAATTTATGCAAATGTAGAAAAGTTATGCACAGTGGCTAACGCTAACTTTACATTTCATGTTTAATTGTTTGTATGATATGATGTACGTACGTACATACATGATTAAACGTTGGTTAACGTTGGTAAAGATTGTAATTTATCTTTATGTAACTTTGCATAAGTTTAGATAAATTAGATCATATCTGATATAATCGTATTCTGAACACATGATAATTTACATAATTTAATTTGTTCGTCATTTAACGTTAACGTTAAATTGTCTTGATAATGCTTGAGCTACAATATGGATTATCAAACTACGAAATTAGTATTAGTACTGTCCAAATTTTCGTGATGTTATATTATTCATACCATATCAATCAGTACGTACGTACGTACGTATGAGAAATCTAATCTACTGAAACTTGTCGTACGTACTTAAAATTTCATTGTGTAATTTGCGTAACACGATCCTAAGTTCTAATTTGTTGAAACCATAAAGGGAATAACACAATCAATTAAAGTTGACCAATTCCGGACCGATTTAGGTCATTTTTAGAAATCAAATCAGCCCTCAACGTTATTTTTGGATAAAATAATAACTGTTTAGTTCTTTTTGTTTTGCATTAAAAGAAAAGCATCGTTATCGTTATTGCATAATGATAAAAAAAATCATTGATTGTAGTGACAAAGTTATTAACACGTGACTTTACCATATCAGGTTACGGAATAAACTAAACGTCGTAATCAGGGATCGGAACCGCCTAATCGTTTAACATGTACCTTACTCATAATGTTAGTTTTGGGCGGGTGTTTTAATGCAGGATGAACGGATAAAAAATTGGGCATGTCATAATGGGGTGTCTATCATAAGTCTAATTACAATCATAGTGCAGATGATATACGTAGTGATTATCACTAATTAAGATTTTTTACGTATAGTAGATTTTTTTGGATGAATTTACTACGCCTTTAATTCCTCTCGTAATATTTGACATTTTTTAAATATATAAAAGCAAAATGGTTTAAAAAAGAAAGACATCATTATAACTTAACAACGCTTTTACTAATTAAACTAGTTAAAATCCGGCCAACGATTTACCATAATGCAGGTCACATAGTAAATCGTTGGCCGGATTTTAACTATTATTTCTCTCGATATAGTGAATGAAAACCCGTCATGTTGCATATGTTGTTAAAAGGGCCTAAGGGTCATGCCCTTATGGCATTGGGGTGTCTACGTATCATCGGTCTAATTACAAATGATTACTAATTTATACGTAATAAATTTTTATATTAACGTTAAATAATTCCTCTCGTAATATTTAACATTGATAAATTTATACTCCCTAATTAATAAGTGCTACACAAAGTAATATAGTTGTGTATGACAACTATTTCATTAATTAATTTTATTGGTCAACACATGTCACATTGGGGTGTGCGGTCAACTATGTAAATCAAAACTATGTGTAGTATCATATAAAAATTAATTATTGAATTTTTTTTTGAATTTAGTGATTAGAATAGTGATCGGAATTATT